CATGTTATTGCTAATTCCTGTAGGCGATCAAATAACATTTCCTCTATCCAAATCCAAGGAGTTGCTCAAGATGATTCCTTGGGTATGAAAAATGTGATTTGTTTCTTTTTTCCAAAGTGCTTTTACGTCGGAGCCTTGAGTTCTTTGCTCCATTGATCACTTGCCTATTGAGAGACTCTCAATTGAAAGTGCCTTGGATCTTGAGAAATTTTTTTCTCTAGAGGAAATTGAGGAGGTGGTCTTTAGTGTCCCGAGAGATAAGGCATTAAGCTCGGATGGGTTCTCGATGGGATTTTTCAAGAATTTGGAGCATTCTTAAAGAAGAGTTCCTTTTGTTTTTTTAGGAATATTTTAATGATGGAGTGGTACCCAAAGCCTTAAACTCCACTTTTCTAGCCCTTATTCCCAAAAAACAAATCATGGAATCTCGTCAAGACATTAGACCCATCAACTTTCTCTCTTCTTCTTACAAAATTCTTGCTAAGGTCCTTGCTAATAGACTCAAGAATGTCACATGGGAGGTGATCCATGGGCCTCAACTGCTTTTGTTAAAGGTAGGAAAATTATGGATGGTATCATGGTTGCACAAGAGGTGATCCTCGATACGTAGCCAAGGGAGAAAGGGGGTACGGATTAAGATTGATTTTGAGAAGGCTTATGATAGAGTGTAGTGGGACTACTTGGACCAGGTTATGGACGTCATGGGATTCTCTTCTAAGATAAAGGGATATCTTTTTCTGCCCATTTCTCTGTTATGAGAAATGGTAAGGCTTGTGGCCACTTTAAAGCTTCGAGAGGCCTACATCAAGGGGATCCTGTCGCATTTTCCTTACATGCTATTGTTTGAATCTTTTAATCTTTTTTTTGCTGAGATTGTGGAGAGTAAATTAATATTAAGCCTTCATGTGACTACTGTTGGCCTGTACATTACCCATCTACAATACGCGATGATATACCCTCTTGTTAGCGGAAAGGGATTTTTCACATATCCAATCTCTTTGGCTCTTCCTTGAGTTCTATGAAGTGCATTTGTTGTCTGGAGAGGCATTAACTCTGTGAGATTGTTGTTTCTTAGCTACAATAGGACTTTGGTGGGTAACAATTTAGATACACAGTTCTGGTCTTCCAAGTGGATAGGAAATTGACCCTTAAGGACTCAGTTCCCTAAACTCTTCTTTAAATGCTCTCCTAAAACTGCTAAAGCTAGTTATCTAAATGAGTTTCAAGAAGACAAGGGTATTTGTAATTTGACCTTGAGTGTTAGGAGGGTGAACCTTGTGGTGGAACAACAATATTCTCAACTTTGAGCCAGCTTTACGATTTGTGCTTTGCACCATCTAGAGGAGACATGGTGATCTGGGAATTGGAACCCTGTAGTAATTTTCGATGAAGTCTCACTACAAATGTTGGTGGACAAATTTATTCTTACCAATTCTTTCTCCTCTATGGTGTGGAAATGCAAGGCCCCTCTACGAGTGAGAGCTTTTCTATAGCTTCTTAGTTGTGGCCGTATTTTAACTATTGATCAACTTTGTATCAGGGGTGTCCCCATTATTAATGTTTGCATCTTTTGTAAACAGGATGCGGAGTGTGCTTCTCATATATTTCTTACTTCCCTCTTGCTCGGCAAGTTTGGGACCGGCTCCTCTCTAAGTGCAATTGGCATTGGATGATATCGTACCACATTGATGGTATATTTCAACATGGCTAGTCGCCTCCTTTCTTCTCTTTGGGGTTGCTCTTATGGCGTTTATGTGTCGCAACAGTTCTTTTGACTATTTGAAAGGAGATGAATGCTAGATGCTTTGATGGGTAAGCAAGAGGTGTAGAATACATCATAGCCTCCATCTTAAAACTTTTGTTGGATGGGGCCAGGTACAATTACCCTTTAAGCATTTTCATAAGGAGTTTTTTACTCGCATAGCTAGTGACCTATTGGCTTTGAAAAAGAGGAAATTTTTGAAAGACTGTTATTGGTTCCCTCGACCAAGCGGGTGGGTTAAGCTCAATTTTGATGGCAGTGCAACGGAGGATGGACATGTAGCCACTTATGGGAGTCTCCTTAAGGATAGTTTGGGGTGTACTATCTAGACTTACCATGGTAGTTTACACCCATGCTCCGCTAATAAAGCGGAACTTTAGGCTATTTATCATGGGCTCAACAAACTTGAGGACATTTTCCTTAGCGTGGTCATTGAATGAGACTCCCTCAATGTTATTAAGTGGTATCTCCACCCTTCTTCTACTCCTTGGTAGTGGGTCCACACTCGCGACTGTATTGATCTATGTCTCCGTGGAAGGGAGGTTCATTTTGTCCATATCCATTAGGATCGGAATGGACATGTTGATGCTCTTGCCAGGGGTCTTGCGGCGTGACTTTTGGGTGGCTTTCCCCACCCTTTGCTCCTCTCTCTCTCTCTCTCTCTTAATTTTTCTTTTTTTTGTTTCTTTGTTTTCTTTTTGTTGCTACCTTTTAATCATCAATAGAAACTCTCGGTTAATTGTTAACAAAAAAAAAAACTAGAACAACTAATTT